ATCTTCACGTCTCGACCATTTTGAGACTCCTCGTCATGTCCTCGATCTCATCCGGGACTTCGAACTCCTTCGGTACATCAAAACACATAAACTCATAATATAACCGTCATCGAAGTTTAAGCGTGCGGACCCTACGGGTTCGAGAACTATGTAGACATGACTGAGACACGTCTCCGGTCAATAACCAATAGCGGAACCTGGATGCTCATATTGGCTCCTACATATTTTACGAAGATCTTTATCGGTCAAACCGCATAACAACATACGTTGTTCCCTTTGTCATCGGTATGTTACTTGCCCGAGATTCGATCGTCGGCATCTCAATACCTAGTTCAATCTCGTACCGGCAAGTCTCTTTACTCGTTTCGTAATACATCATCTCGCAACTAACTCATTAGTTGCAATGCTTGCAAGGCTTAGGTGATGTCCATTACCGAGAGGGCCCAGAGATACCTCTCCAACAATCGGAGTGACAAATCCTAATCTCGAAATACGCCAACCCAACAAGTACCTTCGGAGACACCTGTAGAGCACCTTTATAATCACCCAATTACGTTATGACGTTTGGTAGCACACAAAGTGTTCCTCCGGTAAACGGGAGTTGCATAATCTAATAGTCATAGGAACATGTATAAGTCATGAAGAAAGCAATAGCAACAAACTAAACGATCAAGTGCTAAGCTAACGAATGGGTCAAGTCAATCACATCATTCTCCTAATGATGTGATCCCGTTAATCAAATGACAACTCATGTCTATGGTTAGGAAACATAACCATCTTTGATCAACGAGCTAGTCAAGTAGAGGCATACCAGTGACACTCTGTTTGTCTATGTATTCACACATGTATTATGTTTCCGGTTAATACAACTCTAGCATGAATAATAAACATTTATCATGATATAAGGAAATAAATAATAACTTTATTATTGCCTCTAGGGCATATTTCCTTCAGTAGATGCAGTTGGACTAATGGTCTACTTATCACAAATGTAATGCCTATGTGAGATTATGCCATGAATAATCATAGTTATAATTTGCGCTATTCTGTCAATTGTCCGGCAAAATTTTGTCTACCATGTCACTACATGCTTTCAAGAGAGATGCCACTAGTGAACCTATGGCCCTAGGGTCTATTCTCCATTAATACAAAAGCTCCTACTGTTTGCTCTTTACTATTTTTGCTACATTGCCTATCACTATATCTGCTTTTAATCTTGTAACCATCAAGAACAAGGGGAGTGACGTCCCCCTTGTGTTTGTTGCGTGCAAGCAATTGATGTGTTTGTGTGCAGATATTGTTTACGTTCTTAGTGTAGTGCCTCTTACTGGTTCGGTAAACCTTGGTTATTAACTGAGGGAAATATTGTGCTACATCAACATTCCTCTTCTGGGAAATCCAACAACTCCTACGAGAGTAGCAGAAGAATTTATGGCATTGTTGCCGGGGAGTCATCATGTACCAAACCAGGTGCCTTCGTAGAAACACTTCTATTTTTTTGTTTCTATTTTCCTGTCTAGTTGCCTTTTGCCTTTTTGCCTTCTTCTTTGTTTGCCATAATTTCCAAAAATACCCCCCAAAAAATCTTTTGTTACTATTTCTTCTTGTGTTTCCACTATGTCTACGGTTTGCGAGATCGTCATCAATGGTTTGAGGTACGATCTACACTGACTCGTGTACTTCCATTGCACTTCGGAGTCGGTAACGGTCGTTGATCCAAACCCTATATGCATCTTCATATTGTTCCTAGGTGATTGTAGGACGATTTTTTTCTGTTTCTAGTACGTTTTCCAACACTCAGTTCCATTATGGATGCTTAGTACTGCTTTTGTTTCCTCATCCCCACAAACATCCTAGTGACACTGAAAAATGTGTTGGGTTTCCGTTCGGGCCCGACACCTTTGTGGGGAACACCTGAAAAAGAGCAGCCTTCACCTCTTCGGCCCCATACTCCTTATCAAGCCTGAAGTTCACCAGTTGCTTCACCTTTACTGTTACACTATCAAGGACCACGTCCGTCCCTATTGCCCCTTCAAAAGTGTAGAGAGTTTTTTAGAAATGGACTATGAGGTTATGCATCTCGTGAACATCCGTCACAACTGTTCCATCAGACATCGCCAGTTGTCCTATCTTGTTCTTCTTCCTCCGTCTGCTTCCCCGCTAATGATTTTTGTGTTGCTATCCCCTTGAACCCTTGATCACTTCTTCCACATGATCTCTTCCCTATGATTCCAATTAGTGAATTTTGTTAGTAGCAGCATTATTTCGTCCTGGCCACATGGCACCTGACCATGGGACCTAGCTATCAGTTTTTTTGTCAAACATCATCTCTAATTGAGTGATAATCCAGTGATCAGTATTTTCTGAAACTGTCAGCATAAATAGTGGCGGTTTTTTGAATAAAAGAAACGAATTGTGGTGGTTTTATGAATTAGGGTCCCAGTCGCATCCACTACTTCTCGAAAGTCATTCATTTTCTTAGTGTCCCTCTTGCCGACCCCAGCATCACTCTGATGTAGTACTTCGTTGAAATCACCAATCCATAGCAGGGAAGATCTGACTCCGATCTCAGGAACTCTGATAAGTTTCCAAGCTCTCTCTCTCTCTCTCTCTCTGTCTCTCTCTCTCTCTTATTAGCTTCTCCATAGATATTTGTAAGCCGCCATTGTTCTTCTCCATCTATTCTAATTTTCATATCAATATGATACTAGGAATAGTGAATCAATCTCATTGTAACGTAATTATTTTAGTACATAGCCAAAGCGCCATTGCGGCCATCACTCCCTATGGCACAACTATTATCAAAGCCCAACCTAAACGCCAGATTATTTGTTGTAGTGCTACCTTTGAGTTTCCTATAGACATAACACTGGGGGGGGGGGGCAGTCTTTTGCACTAACGTGTGTACCTCTCGAACTATCATGTGTTGCCAATCCCGCAACAGTTCTAACCGAGAATACTGGTGGTCCATACCGGAGCTTGCCAATTTTTCATCAGAGTTCATCTTTTTTTAGGGTGAAGTTCCCTGTTTTGGTTTCTTCCTATCCCTTCACTTCACATATTCAGGCGGGAGAGGAGGGCATGCAACCCGTCACCAGATTGCCCTTCCTTGGTAGCCGCCGCTTCTTGCATGTTCTTGTCTCCGGTGACATCATGATCCTCAACATTAGCATGCACATTTTATGTACCAAGGTCCAGCTTCATTGCAACACTTTCCTTGTCCTTCTCTTCACCTACTAGAGCTGACGTATTCTTTAATGGGCATCGACGAGTCATCCAACTCGTACTCCCCATCTTCATCCAAGCTTGTCATTCCCTGCCTTGCAGGGTATGTTTCATGTGCCAGTCGAGCCACCACCACGGTCCCGACCTCACGCACCCTTGAATGGCATGCCCCTGGCCAAAGCAACAAAACCACCTCGACTAGCACTCCAATCACTATAAATGACCTTCTTATCGGTTACCGCCATCATATAGTCCTCATACTCTATATCATCCGGCCCATGAACCTCGTCTTAGGTTATGACCAAGGATGTCGCAAACTCCACAAAAGAAGCCGATCTTCTCGCATAAAAATTTGCTCCTTCCCAGTAAGGTTCAAGGGTGTAAACCTAAACCCTGGATGGGTTCATCTCCATGTTGTTTACTAGGCCAATCCTATGAGCCATCTGATCAGCAATGCCTTGCAACCTAGAGGTTCGGAGTATCATCAACATGTGCCCAGATGTTGATCCGCTCCAGCTTGACTGATCCTGGTTTTTGTTTGCTGTCATATTCCTCAATAAGTGCAACCAAACCACGGAATATTCACTAACCCTGATGCATGACCTTGTTTCAGTCACCTAGGCAAAAGCACTATACCATGAAGAGATTGCCATCAACTTCCCCGATATCCGGTTCGTGTGCAAAGTTCCATGCATATTTCATAGCATCCTTGAATGCACCTGCACCAAAAAACTTGTTCGTGTTCACCTTTGCAACCGCCAAACGTCTAGCAGATTTGGAGAGACCTGAGATTTTCTCTTCACCCACAAAAATATCATCAAGTTCTTTGTCTTTCAGCTTCATCGCCTCTTCTAGATCGGTTCCAACCCCGCCCTTGCCTTTTCCTCCCGCCGCACCGTATGGACTCCTTGAGGACGATGACGCGGCCATCTGGCCGACGAGTGCAGTCACGGGGCGAGGGACTATTATGAGATCAGGGACAGAACAAGACTCACTAACTCGACGCCGGCGGGGAGATGGCGGAGTACAAAAACCCTAGACGCCTAGGGGTACAAGGCTTTCATGGTTTGCCTTTTCTTTTTGAGAAAATGTCATAATTTTTTTTGAGTTGTAGTTTTTTTTCCTGATGTTTTTTTTGAGAAGAAGTTTTTTTTGCCTGATAATCGAGAGAAGAGAACTCTTTTGCACAGTCGCCTAAGAAGCGGGCCGAGTCCATTGGAGGCCCAGCGGAGCGACGCGGCCGCACATCAAAGGGCGCTAGTAGATACTAGAAGCGCCGTTTGAGCTGTGTTCTCTTCTGCGCCACTGCTCCCCGCCGCCGCCGCCCCGCCGCCGCCGCCGCGTCCTCCCCGACGAACTACGGGACCGAGATCCGCCGGCCTGCCGCCTCGACCCGTGACCCGTCCCCGAGGTACTCAGCCCGGCCGCCCCCCAGTCCCCTTCTCCGTGGCTGGATCAGCGCGATGCGTTCCTGACAATTTTTCTTCCTCTCTCTCTCTCTATGTGGCTGGGCAGATGGAGAGGGTGCTCAAGGATGACGCCATACAGGAGAAGGGCGAGCGCGCCCGGATGGTGAGACGACCGCCCAACCCCTCCTCCCTGATCCGCTCGGTTCCACTGTTGCTTTAGGTCGGTCGGTCCGTTCGTTCGTTCCACGGTGCTGCTCTCCCAGCTGAGAGCTGAGTAAGGGCCAGCTCGCGGAGCACCAGATCCGGCGCCTGAGCGTTCCCTGCCGCCGCCTAGTGGTTTCGCTTCATAGGATCTGTGGCTTACCGATGCTCTGTTGCGGCTGCAATGTGCTTTTGCAACAGTGTGCAATGGGCTTACTCATCTCCTTTTATTTGGACTGCAAAGAGGCTGTAGATTGCGTGCTTTGTTGAATTATCGTTCAGCCCCTTTTGTTATATGGGGTTCTAACTCATTCGGTCTCATCTCCTGGCAGGCATCTTTCGTTGGTGCCATGGCGATCGCGGACTTGGTCAAGACCACACTCGGGCCAAAAGGAATGGTATGCGTGTGCTGTTCCCAGAGAAAATGTGCATTTGGACAAAAGATGGCAGCCCTTTGAATGCTAGTGTTAGTGTGTCTCCCTTACATGATGCCTTGTTTATGCCCAGGACAAGATCCTTCAGTCGACTGGCCGAGGGCGGAGTGTCACTGTTACGAATGATGGGGCTACCATTTTGAAGTCCCTCCATATCGACAACCCTGCTGCCAAGGTCCTTGTTGGTATCCTTTTTGTTTGAATCTATTGCTTGGTGATGTTCATGCTGAGGTGATGGTTATTTCTAGATCTGGCAATATAGGCTTCTTATAGCTTTTCCTGACCTTATTTGATTAGCTGGTTGTATGAATGTTCTTCCTAATTGAAAGAATATGTGGTCCTTAATGATCATTCTTAGACATCTCCAAAGTTCAAGATGATGAAGTTGGTGATGGAACAACTTCTGTTGTTGTTTTGGCTGGAGAACTTTTGAGGGAGGCTGAGAAGTTGGTTAACATGAAGATTCACCCGATGACTATTATTGCAGGTAATCCTCATTTTAGACACGGTTTATCTAAAATGTTATCCCTAATAGGCTCACATTTAAAAATTGTGCAACATCTTAATTATTACTTCAATACACGTTACTGAGTCTTGGGTGAGTAATGATACAATAGCAACACTTTTTGGAGCAGTCGGACATGTGAATTCTGAAAAATGAGATCTCACGCTTACATACTTATTATTTTTTGTCATGCTTAAATGATTAAAAAGCAGCTCCCTCAGTATTGGTAACTTCTGCATTGATGCCATTTTAGAAGTACAAGATAGTATCTTGAAAAACGAAAATGTGAAAGCAGTGCAGTTCTGCATTGATGCCATTTTAGAAGTACAAGATAGTATCTTGAAAAACGAAAATTTGAAAGCAGTGCAGTTCTGCATTGATGCCATTTTAGAAGTACAAGGTAGTATCTTGAAAAACCAAAATGTGAAAGCAGTGCACTTCTGCATTGATGCCATTTTAGAAGTACAAGGTAGTATCTTGAAAAACCAAAATGTGAAAGCAGTGCAGTTCTGCATTGATGCCATTTTAGAAGTACAAGATAGTATCTTGAAAACCAAAAT